TTGAATAGGAAAACACCTGTTGCATGATAATGAGACACAATTTATAACACACAGATGACAAGAATAGCTTTGATTTTAAAAGGAAGAGATACAAGTCCCTTAGCCTGTATGGACCATTATCCCATACAATTTCAAACCATGCTCTTCAGACTGATGTCTCTTCTTGATATATATAATTCAGCGCATCTGGTGCAAGAAATTGCTGATAGCCTTATACTTACTCAGATCTGAGACTGTGTACAGACAATACCAGTGTGTGGTGAGATTTAATAGTTTATCCTTATAGTCATTAGGAAGTTCTGGAGGGCTGAAGTGGTGAAAGTTGGGTTCCAGAAGAGAATATATTGGGACCACCCCACCCAGATGGTTAAACAATCTAATTCTGTAAAATTGGTTTGAGGTCTGCCCAGTGGTTAGGGTCATTATTGATGGCATCCATTAAAATACTGTAGTGTTATACATCACACATAAGTAAGCAGAACAATTTCCCTTCCATTTTAATTAAAGAAATAATGTAGGCTTATTCAGGCAGTGCAGGATCATAGTTAAGTGGTAATACATTTACCACAGACTTTTGGCTTTTCTAGCAGTACAGGATCATAATTAACTGATAATATCAGGGACTTTTTAGGCTTTTTCTGGCAGTGCAGGACTATAGTTATACTGATAATGCCAGGGACTTATTAGGCTTATTCTGGCAGTGCTAGACCAAAGTTATTGTGATAATGCCAGGGACCTTTTAGGCTTATTTTGGCAGTGCAAGATAATAGTTATAGTGATAATGCCAGAACTTTTAAGGCTTATTCTGGTAGTACAGGATCATAATTAACTGATAATGCCAAGGACTTTTTTGGCTTATTCTGGCAGTACAGGATCATAATTAACTGATAATGCCAAGGACTTTTTTGGCTTATTCTGGCAGTGCAGGACCATAGTTATACTAATAATGCCAGGGACTTTTTAGGCTTATTCTGGCAGTGCAGGATCATAGTTATACTGAAAATGCCAGGGACTTTTAAGGCTTATTCTGGCAATGCAGGACTAAAGTTACTACAGATATGTAATAGATTAAAGGTAAATAGTGTGTATTTGTTATAGTTCAATAGCAAGGTTTATGTACCAAAAAGTTATGTATGTCTACTGATGGTGGGCGGGGTCAAAAGTGGCCAAATTGACTCAAATTTCAGAGATCTTCTCAATTCTTTGATGTGATAGAATCTATTAAATACTTTTCATGGATGAAGTTTTTATATGGGAAAATTACATTTTTAGGTGTACTTTCTTTAAATTGAAACTTGTTTGGAATCCTTGACATGGGACAGCAGCTAATGTTATGCAAAGTTTAAATTGACATTATGTGTACAATGTACAAGATTATTTCTATGACATGTTACTAGAAGCATTGTTACTAAGGTGACTGTTATGACTCTTGGGCATCCTATTTTTGAAAAGTTCAATTTTTTACTGTCCCACAAAGAAAAAATTCACAAAATGATTCTGTTAATCTGTCATTTACAATGCATGATATTTAAAAGAATGACAACTTTTGAATTCTAGATTGATAGCTATTTTGAAATTAAGCGGTATTTACTTCGTAATAAAAAGTTCAAATTAATTGCTTTTGATGATGTTGGATTAGGAGAGCTTACTATAGAAAAGTTTTTGGTTGTTGATATAACTGATTTTCTTGTGTGTGAGATCAGCTGATCATTTTTAATGTGAATGGTTGTTTTCATAGTGTTTTTATGGACTAATGTGTGTCATTTTCAGTTGGTAGAAAAACAAAAGCCAGAATGTAAATATATTTAGAATAATATTGATAAGTCGAAGTTCCAAAGGCTTATGAATAAATGTGGAAACTCTCTCCTAGCTTTACTCTGTCAAGCTTAAAATATCATATTTAAAAATCCAAAAAAAGTAATGCTATCAGCAGAATTAAGCATGGTATAATGTCGGGTTCAACAAGTCTGTTACATGTTGGGTTGATAACACTATTTTTTGTATTACTTATATCAGTAGACCAAATGGAAATACTGGAATTGTTATTAATTTTGAAAAATAATTCATGGTTGTTCAGGGTTAAATAAGGACTATAATGCTATTGCTGTTATAGTTTACAATTACAATCTTAACGGCCCGTTAACACATAAAAGGTCATTAGGGCCATGCAGTTATAGAATTTTATCAATGATATTAGTATAATATTCCGTACAAAAATCAGCAGTGAAATTCTAGTGGATTCCAATGGAATTTAATTCTAGTCCATTGATATTCAGAATTGGAAGTGAAATCCAGTGTCTTTCCACTGATACCACTGCAATTATCATTGGAATTCAAGTGACTGTAGAATCACTTGTAACCCAACTGAATACTGTAAAATTTCATTTCCTTGTTATGTATACCTATAGCTAGGTCATGTAGAGATATTTCATAGCATGGTCAGAATCAATAACTAATTGTTATAATGTAAAGTACTAGCTTTGATATGTGTAGAGTTTCTGAGATGTAAAGGATATACCAGTTCTCAATATTCCAGACATGTTTCTTGTTGTAGTTAAAATATTTTAAAATATCTGCACATCTGACCTATCATGCTTCAATTTTGTGAATTTTGCAGATACATCCTTCCGCCCATGGTTACCTCAGATAATAAGGAAAATCATAGACTCCAAATTACAGGAAATATCCAAACATATCTTAATAAAAACTGCAGAGAGAATATTAAAAATATACAGATAATTGATATCAAAACAGGAAGTGAATTAACTGTGATATCTACATATTAAAAACATGCAAATAGAATTTTTTTAGAATATATAGATACTTTTCACTGCGAGATGTTCTTTAAAACTCCTGAAAAAATATGAAATTAAGCATGAAACTATCTATAGTTATATTAAACAGTATATAATATCATCTTTGACCAATACAGTGACCAGTTCTATCATTCTGATTACTTTAGATAAGTTTTGATGTCAGAATACTCAGAAGTCTAATTCGACAAATTTCCGTGGTCACTGATAGAGGCTGTAGAATTGTGAAGAATTATCTTATTTACTGGACATCATGGTGACGTATAGTAAAACATGGATAAGTCAAAGTCAACAGTTAACCGACTTTAGTGTATTTCATTTAAAGTTTGGTTGCCTAATTTTGTGTAAACGTAGGGATTGATGTTCAATTCAGAATTACAATAGGACTTGTTAACACCAATATGGCTGACAGATCACATTCACTCATTTGGATTGAAGCCAGGAAATTTTTACCCAAGACAAGGTGACACCTGAATGTTCGACACAAAAAAGGAAATTTTGGTAGGATTAGGAAGGGATGGACCATGAAATAACACAAATGCAGTGTTCAACGCAACAGTATTCAAATCAACCATATTTGATTTACTAAGCTAAAGAAGAGAAAAAATTCGCATCAAACAAAACATTCTGCTCACCTGATGTATTTGATTCAAGCGTGTTTAACACAAGTGAGTTTTATTGTAATTTGTCAGCCCGCCATTTGATAATAGTCAGTCTGTATATAATTTTGATTATTTCTTGAGAAGGACTAAAGGGATATGTCTTAAACTTGATTTGTAGCTTCACCTTGGTCCTAATTTTTGTCCATTCAATTTTAGTTTGATCGAGAAAAATAAACTGTCTGACAGGTGACCATGGCCATCATGGATTTTGACAATGAAAGGTTGTTATTGCTATTTTTCGAGAAGTAATGAATGGATCTTTCTAAATTATCATATGTAGGTTCCCCTTGGACCATGTTGTGCCAAAAAGCTGATAGATGCCCATTTTGTATTTTGATTAAGAAACATTTTTGATAACTTTTTCTTGAAGATCTTTCTCCAATTTCATATGGAGGCTCTTGATCCCTAAACAAAATGGCTGACACAAGGCTGTTTGGGATTGACATTTCAAGATTATGATTGCTATTTCTGATGAGAATTTTCAAATTTTATATGATCAAGAGTAAAAACAGAAGAAAAAACAGAAAAGAAGAGATTAGATCCAGCTGTTAAAAACAAACGAAGATCAAACAATGGTGGATGCTTATGCTTCCCCGATTTTTTCTGCCTTTTTCCCCAAATTCTGTTCATGTGATACAGGTCCTTATGGTAGAATGTGGTTAGAATTTGCTCAGAAACAAACTAAATAATAAATAATTGATTAAATGACATGGGAATCCTTATTCACCAATTGATGATTATAACTTTACCACCGAGACTTAGAAGGACCTGACTGCTTGCAGTAAAAAGACTTCCTATTGTTGTACTCTTACAGCATTAGCTACAAGGTGAGGAGTTGTCAAGTAGTGCTAGGATAATCCAAAGATCAGGATAGTAAATCATTCAGATAAAACAATTGGCGGAGGTATGAGCTTGAGGCAATACCCAAATGAATCGAAGTTGACAAGTAAGCATTTCAGTAAAATAGGCCACAAAGGGGGATATTGTGATGGATATCAAATGAAGTGGAGGTATGCATCGCTTTACTAACTTTGGCTTGTACAATGCTTTGTATACCGAGCCGCAAAATGGATGTTGATAACCAAACATTAACCCATGCACATGTTCTTAATAGCTTAGTGTTTGAACCTGAAGCCAGGTAATATGTTCTGTACTGAATCATGCAATGACGTAAAACAACAAATGTTTTAAAACAAAGTGATGATTAAAGTCTAAACTGATATAATCCATGTGCAATGCTCTTTGGAAATTAAATTGCATTTCATAGCAAATGTCTCTTATCACACAGCTGCCTCCTTTGGAATTGATGTTGTGCAATATATACTATGGACACTATATTTAGAGGGGTTAATCAAACAATTTGTTTGGTTAAAGTTAACATTGGTGCCGAACTGTGATATATTGAGGTGATATCTAGATACGATTGGGGATGTAACCAACATGTCCATTTAATTTATGATAATATGCCTTACTTTAATGTCAGTTAAACCAGAGAAATTGTTTACATCTGTTTGTTGAATTACAGGTGACAGTGCTGAATCCTAAAGATGGCGTTATATCCTATGCTGGGCAGACAAGTGCGGACTCAATACAAATGAATCCCTCACAGCCTGTTATTGCCTTAAAAGGTCAGACATTAGTCATAAGATGTAGTTAAAGTTTATGTAACCAGTCACTTCCCCAAGATCTTTTCCTCATTTTACATATAATTGCCATAATATTGCATACAAGTCCTCCTTGGAATATGAGTGATATCTAATGAAATAAGCTCTATTACCCCAATTATATGAAGAATTATGGCCCTTTGTTCACTGATGTTACTGTGTTGCTGTGATTATCTACTTATTGCCAAATTTGACATGCATGTAGCATGTTAACCTATCTAACTATACAAAGAATCTCACCATGAAACTAGGTTACATTGTAGTACTATTATTTGTCCTGATGTTTGTATTTCTTACAATTTTGGGTACTTTTTTGTCTTTATGAAATATTATTGATCAGCTAGGATATAGTTGATTTATGACATTATTGCCATACAAATCAGTTAGTGTTGTCTAATAGAACACCATCAGTTTGCTGGACAATGACTAATCATCCATGTCCATTTGGAGGGGGGGGGTATATCCATGTCCTGTCCCTAGTATTGTCTAATAGAACATCATCAGTTTGCTGGACAATGATTAACCATCCATGTCCATTTGGAGGGGGGATATCCATGTCCTGTCCCTGTCCTGTCACATCATGTCATGTTCCATCAAATTCTGAATCAATGTCATAGCCTAAAATAAGCCTTTCATGAAAATGAGCCAGTAAGTAAGCCTGCAAACTTTTAAATTTTCCTCCATTTCCCCAAGTTATTTCCCTATTTTACCCCCTCTCTGGCCTTTATGGAAAATAAGCTGTGCCTTTCTGATTAAATTTAGTTGATTCTTAAGTTATGAGGATATCTTTTCAACCTCTCCACAGATGTAACATCAAGTGCTACACCTAATCTGACTATTGTTTATACAGAGCAGACAAACAGGCCTTTGTCATTGACATTTTCTAGTGTGACTTTCTGTTGGAATAGGTACATTACCAGTCATGTTTTAATTTTTATGATAATGTGAAGGAAAATGTTGAAATATTACATATTAGATAAAAATGGAGAAAAGTCATAAAAAATTTATTGCTGCCTCCTGATCCTCCTCCTCTTCAAGGAGTAATAGATCTTAGGACAACAAAATGGTATTCACCACCTGGGATCGTCCCATCATGTCATTAACATACCACCAGAATCAGATACAGACCAGCAGTGATAACATTAACTCACATTGGGAACTGAGAACATAGATAATTGCTGAAGTAAGTAACATGACAGACAAAATTTAGTATAACAACAGAGACCTGTAATAGTAACCAGTAGTGTAGTGTGGACCTGATGGGTAATATGTCTGTGGTAATGGCCCTGTGAGGTCTGTCTACAATAAGACCTTTGAAGATTTGTTTTCTCGGTGTGATACAGTACTACAATCATACAGTTGCTCTCTTCCTCTTTCTTGCTGAGTATTTTCATGTTTTCAATGACATGGTAGACTTATATATAGAGTCCTGGTTCAGACTGACATATCAACACCACACCAAATCATGGTTCAGCTTTGCAGTGTGGGTGCTGGATGAGACTCTAATCTTCTACACTTAATGTCAGGGGTGATAGCACTGAATTATTTATGATTGTAGGAGAAGTCCAGGAATTAGCCTAAATTACCAGAATTATATCTGTCACTTCATGCTGACAGGATTGTGGTGATAATTGTGGAGACATCTGTACTGCAATGTTTAATGCATGAGATGTTCTAGCTGAAGGCTTTTAAGGCGCAGTCTCTATTTTTATGAGTATTTTCCCACCAAAAATTACCTATTATTAAAATTGTGTGTATCAATTGAGAGAATGTTCTATTGAAATAATGAATGGAAACTGAAAACCTCTTCACTAAGCAAACTCCATACTCCATTCCACAAGTTATGGCTACCCTAGAAGGCTGATATACTGTGGAATTGGAAATATCCATAGAGGGTTGAATTTATTTGTAAGAAGATTGAATTTATTTGTACGAGGATTGAATTTATTGGTAATCATTAAAGAAAAGATTAAATTTCAATATCCGGCAAATATTTCAACACTTTGCTGCAGCAAAACGCAGATCACATGACAAGTGTTGTGTTTCTTATGAAGTAAATCAACAAGGAAACCAAACTAGCATTGTTTTGGAATACAACATGGAGGGCGAGGTAGCAAAGTTTTAATGTTGAACAGGCTAGAGTAGCTGGTGTGGTTTGGCATATCTGCCAGGCATGTCTATTACAGTGAATCAAAATGTCTAAAAATGCCTATTTTATGTATATATGCATAGATACCAATGTATAAGGCATATTTCCTTGTTAGCAGTTCAAGGGGGAGTAGTGCGAAGTCAAATTTCTGTGAACTGTGACAAAAAAATTTGAAACAACCCTGCAAAAATGTTATGTGAAGCTAAATATTTAATTGTAGATTTTGTTATACACGAAAGCTTCAGATATTTATGAAATCATAGTTTTTAATTAATGCATAATTTAACACAATCTGTGTTTCAGCTGGAGCACGGTTTGAGGTGTTTAACTTTGACTCCAAAGTGATGATCAGTAAGACGAAGATTCATGAACCTATTGTGTTCTGGACGTGGCTCAACTCTGAAATCATCGCCATGGTGACTGACACTGTCATCTACCATTGGGACGTTTGGCAGAGTAAGCCGTCATTTCTAACTCACAAACCATAGATATGTAATACTTTGATAAATATATTTGAGATAAGATGGTGGCAGCCCTTATAGAAGTTTTCCTTGTTAGTGTGCCCTTACCTTTATTTATACACTGCTTTTAATGAAACTTGCTAGAATTATTCCATGATAAAATTGCTGAAATAAGTTTACACCACAGAATTATTCAATCATTTTTAGCAGAGTTATGCCCATTTTATTGGAAAATATGGGTATTGTACAGGAAAGGCAAGAACTGTTTCATTCTCTTTTCAATTCCTTTCAATGTGTGGTGAAGCGAAGGGATTTGACACATTACAGGTTTTTCATGTGGCCCCATATTTTCAGATTTATGCCCCTTTATTGCCAAATATGGATATTATGTACAAATGCAAGAAATGTTCAAATCTTTTTTGTTTCATTCCTTTCAATTTAAGCAATAAAATGGACACTTCTCTGCTACCAATAGACATGTTATTTTACAACATTTGTGATAAATGTGTGTAGCAGGTTTGATTAAAAAGTAGGAGTGAGCAGAAAGCGAATATGTAACAAAATAAACAAAAGACCATATGCTGTAGTTTGAATGAAAAAACAGAATGTAAGTTTAATATCCTTACTTCTTGCAATCTTACACCAAATTCTAAAGTAATTCCAAAGTGACTTACAGCTTTAATGCATTTTCAACCCGTAGTCTCAATATTGCTGTACTTTTAGGTGGGTGTGAAGGGCATTTATGCTCCCACTTGTAGTGCTCTTTTTTCTTGAGAAGTTATGAATGGATATTTCTCAAATCTCGCCTGTATATAAGGTTTTTCTTAGTCCCTAGTTGTGCTCATTTGATTTTGGGACTGATAAAAAAAACAAAATGGCCGAAAGATGACCATTGTAGATTTTGTTATGGTTATTTCTTGAGAAATACTTTATAGATCTCTCTCAAATTTCATATGTAGGTTTCCCTGTAGTCCCTAGTTGTAGTCTGTTGAATTTGGACAGATCAGAAAATAAAAATGGTTGAAATGGCTAGGTGCCAAGAGTCCTATTGGATTTCTTGCTGGTGTAAGTCACATATTTAATTCATTAGCAAAGATTTGTTCCATCTTAAAGTATCAGGTATTTCAACACATTTGTTGGTCATCAAATGTGATGTTTTCTCTTGTCTAAACCAATGAGTTTTCTCTTGTCTAAACCAATGAGTTTTTCTTGGCAAAAACAATAAGTTTTCTCTTAGCTAAACCAATGAGTTTTCTCTTAGCTAAACCAATGAATTTTCTCTTATCTAACCCAACGAGTGTTCTCTTATCTAAACCAATGATTTTTCTCTCAGCTAAACCGATGAGTTTTCTCTTGTCTAAACCAATGAATTTTCTCTTATCTAACCCAATGAGTTTTCTCTTAGCTAAACCAATGAGTTTTCTCTTGGCTTAACCAATGAGTTTTCTCTTGTCTAAACCAATGTCTAAACCAATGAGTTTTCTCTTAGCTAAACCAATGAGTTTACCCTTGTCTAAACCAATGAGTTTTCTCTTGTCTAAACCAATGAGTTCTCTCTTAGCTAAACCAATGAGTTTTCTCTTAGCTTAACTAAGGAGTTTTCTCTTGTCTAAACCAATGAGTTTTCTCTTAGCTAAACCAATGAACTTAGGATAACTGAAACTGTAACATTTTATTTTGGTAATGTGTTTGTTTTGACAGACAGTGCACCTGAACGAGTGTTCAGTAGACATCCAAGACTGGCTTTTAGTGAAATCATCAGCTATAAGGCCGACCCAAGTCTCAAGTGGTTAGCAGTCACTGGACTGACGCCAGAGGTCAGCTGCACATACTCACATACTATCTACATATTTTGTTGCTTTTTTTTCAAAGAGAAGTGATGGTGTATTTGCATAAAGAAAAAATCTTGTCTAATTATTGGAATATAATCAAATAATTGTTTTTGAGAGTGTAAAATTTGCAAATATCAAGTTGTTGTTTAGGTTAAAGAAATTTATTGCCCATAATTTTGGTAATACCATATTTATCTGCAAATAAGCCCCTGCTGAAAAATAAGCCACTTTCTAAATGTCAAAATATAAGCTGAATGTGGTTTATAAGCAAGTTCTCCCTAAACTTTAAAACAAAATTTTTACACTAGGGACGAGGGCTTATTTCATGATATATATAATATGTTTCTATTCTCTGTGAGCAAATCTGTCTGAAATAAAAAAAAAAAAAAAAGAAAATGTTGATGTGGATGAACTTTCAATATTTTTCCAGATTGATGATTATGTATAGTGTACAAAAGTCACATCAGTAAGAGTTAGGTGTCAGTTGAGAAATATAATTCTGTTTTTGATACTATATTGGGTAATGACCAATCTTTGTACCAGTACTTTGGAAAGTAAAAACAAATAATGCTTACCACAGGAGAAGAAGATCTCAGGGATAACACAACTCTACAGTGTCAGTGATGACATCACACAATGTATTAGTGCCCATGCTGTCTGTTTCTCTACATATCACTATGATGACAATCCTTCACAGTCCACTGTCATGTGTGTAGCATCTCGAGAGGCCCATGACCATGGCAAGGTAAGGTTACCAACATCCTGAACAGAGTCCCATCAAAAATCCATGACAATGGTATGTTACTGACACCATGACAACCTGAACATAGTCATAGGTTGTCATGGCAGTCCGTATGTAGTCCATCAAACAGACCATCACAAGTTAAAGTTACCAGCTTCCTCATTGTTTAACCTTAATTTGTCTTGACAGTCTGTATGTAGTCCATCAAACAGACCATCACAAGTTAAAGTTACCAGCCTCCTCATTGTTTAACCTTAATTTGTCTTGACAGTCTGTATGTAGTCCATCAAACAGACCATCACAAGTTAAAGTTACCAGCCTCCTCATTGTTTAACCTTAATTTGTCTTGACAGTCTGTATGTAGTCCATCAAACAGACCATCACAAGTTAAAGTTACCAGCCTCCTCATTGTTTAACCTTAATTTGTCCAGTTATGTTTCAAACAGACCATCACAAGTTAAAGACAGCCTCCTGTTTAACCTTAATTTGTCTTGACAGTCTGTATGTAGTCCATCAAACAGACCATCACAAGTTTAAGTTACCAGCCTCCTCATTGCTTAACCTTAGTTTGTCATGACAGTCTGTATGTAGTCCATCAAACAGACCATCACAAGTTTAAGTTACCAGCCTCCTCATTGCTTAACCTTAGTTTGTCATGACAGTCTGTATGTAGTCCATCAAACAGACCATCACAAGTTTAAGTTACCAGCCTCCTCATTGTTTAATCTTAATTTGTCTTGACAGTCTGTATGTAGTCCATCAAACAGACCATCACAAGTTTAAGTTACCAGCCTCCTCATTGCTTAACCTTAGTTTGTCTTGACAGTCTGTATGTAGTCTTACCTTGTCCGATGGTTGTTACAGGTTCATGTCATAGAGCTTGGGCCTTACAAACAAGGTAACTTTGCACCTAGGAACAACTATGACCTCATCCAGTTCATTGATGATGTGGACCGCTACGACTTTCCGATATCTCTCCATGTAAGTACCCAAAATTATGATTTTACTGTTTCGATAGATATTTGATCACACAAGGTGAAATCTCAATGCAAAGACTTGCATTGTGTCATTTGATTTTATGCTTTATATGACTTGTGGAAGATTAAGTAAAATTATGAAGGAATTTTTAGATAGATACAAGATTTCAATGTAGGTATCAGATGTCTACATTTTGTATTTTAGGGATGTGATGTTACACTGGATATTTCTTTACTGATTAGGTGCCACAAATGTTTGGACTGTTGTTTGTGAGAACAAAGTAAGGCTACCTGTATAATTATTTCTATTAGTATACTTTATAGGTTTCCTGTAAATATGGCCTGTTGTTTGTGAGAAAAAAGGCTACCTGTAATTATTTCTGTTACTATACTTTATAGGTTTCCTGTAAATATGGCCTGTTGTTTGTGAGTAAGACTACCTGTAATTATTTCTGTACTTTATAGGTTTCCTGTAAATATGGCCTGTTGTTTGTGATAACAAAGTATGGATACCTGTACTTGTGTGACATGGAAACAGCCGCATGTCTCTGTTGTACTCGAGTCTCTCTAAACGTCATCTTTACCTCCACACTCAACACAGACTCACAGGGTATTGTCGGTGTCACCAGGGGAGGCCAGGTATGGTGCCATACATCTCACCATATATGGGTTGTGAACAGAAACAGTTTAATTATAATCCTTTGTAATAAGCAGATTTATATCGCTGAGCTGCGATTTGACCTAGATGATGAGCTAAGGTCACCATATTCAATCACAGACCAGTAGAAAATATTTGAATGCATTGTATTCACTGTTATCGTCCTCTTAGGGTTACCCCAGTATTTTGCCCAATGTTTCTAGGTTTCTATACGGAAGGGATACCAAGCAATTGAAGAGTCAATATAAGACATAAGAATCCATTGTAAGGCAATAATCTGATGTTATCGAGAGACTGACACTTCCTGAGAAATGTCAGTAAGAAAAATGTCATCAGATGATACATATTCCTCCCACTTAGTTTTTTTACGTGAAAGTAATTCATTATGTGAGAATTTTATTTATTTATATATATTTTTTAAGTGTTCCTGTATGAGATCAATTATTTGGTTTCAGATTGTAACTGTGGATATTAAGAAAGATGGTTTCATCAAATATGTACGGGACACTGCCAAGAAAACAAACCAGGCAAACCGCTTGGAGAAGGCCATTTCTATACAGATTGACAATGATGGAGATAATCCTGTGTCCTTGGACATGAGTGCCTCCTCACAGGGGGAGCTTGGTGCTCACTCACTTCGAGACAACAACAGCAATATACGTAAATGAAACTGACATTGACATCGACTTAAACTTGACCTATGTTGTCATGGTAATGATTGTCTTAGATATTTCAAAGTATTACTGTGTTGCAAGATATTCAAATGAAATTGTTGCTATGGTGATTATGCATAAAGTCAGGTAAAATCTGGCACATTCTATAATAACATCAATCTCAGATGGTTAGTAATGTGTTGACCTCTGACCTTGATCTCTGTTAACTCTAGTCAGCAGAATTTGCACTAGCATCAGTATTTATGCTTTAAGATGTTTCATTTTTGATATTGTAATAAACAGCCTCAACTTGTTCATCTGATGTTGCCAGAAAACATTTATATCATTAGATCTCATCAGTAAACATCTACATCATCACATCTCATCTGTAAACATCTACATCATCACATCTCATCAGTAAACATCTACATCATCACATCTCATCAGTAAACATCTATATCATCACATCTCATCATTAAACATCTATATCATCACATCTCATCAGTAAGTAAACATCTACATCATCACATCTCATCAGTAAACATCTATATCATCACATCTCATCAGTAAGTAAACATCTACATCATCACATCTCATCAGTAAGTAAACATCTACATCATCACATCTCATCAGTAAACATCTACATCATCACATCTCATCAGTAAGTAAACATCTACATCATCACATCTCATCAGTAAACATCTATATCATCACATCTCATCAGTAAGTAAACATCTACATCATCACATCTCATCAGTAAACATCTACATCATCACATCTCATCAGTAAGTAAACATCTACATCATCACATCTCATCAGCAAACATTTATATCATTAGATCTCATCAGTAAACATCTACATCATCACATCTCATCAGTAAACATCTACATCACATCTCATCAGTAAACATCTACATCATCACATCTCATCAGTAAACATCTACATCATCACATCTCATCAGCAAACATTTATATCATTAGATCTCATCAGTAAACATCTACATCATCACATCTCATCAGTAAACATCTATATCATCACATCTCATCAGTAAACATCTACATCATCACATCTCATCAGTAAACATCTACATCATCACATCTCATCAGTAAACATCTATATCATCACATCTCATCAGTAAACATCTATATCATCACATCTCATCAGTAAACATCTATATCATCACATCTCATCATCAAACATCTATATCATCACATCTCATCAGTAAACATCTATATCATCACACCACATCAGTAAACATATATATCATCACATCTCATCAGTAAACATCTATATTATCACATCTCATCAGTAAACATCTATATCATCACATCTCATCATTAAACATCTATATCATCACATCTCATCAGTAAACATCTATATCATCACATCTCATCAATCAAACATCTACATCATCACATCTCATCAGTAAACATCTATATCATCACATCTCATCATCAAACATTTACATAATAATGTCTCTTTAACAAACATTTATATCATCAGATGTTACTACTTGCTGATCTTAAATCACCACATTTAGAATAGAATTTTGTAGTCCATTTCAAAGAATACCAGTTGATGTATTGTTATTATAATATGTTAGAGATTGACACAGTTATGATAGCCGTTATTATAATATGTAAGAGATTGACACAGTTATGATAACCGTTATTATAATATGTTAGAGATTGACACAGTTACGATAACCGTTATTATAATATGTAAGAGATTGACACAGTTACGATAACCGTTATTATAATATGTTAGAGATTGACACAGTTAGATAACCGTTATTATAATATGTAAGAGATTGACACAGTTACGATAACCGTTATTATAATATGTTAGAGATTGACACAGTTACGATAACCGTTATTATAATATGTAAGAGATTGACACAGTTACGATAACCGTTATTATAATATGTAAGAGATTGACACAGTTACGATAACCGTTATTATAATATGTAAGAGATTGACACAGTTACGATAACCGTTATTATAATATGTAAGAGATTGACACAGTTACGATAACCGTTATTATAATATGTAAGAGATGGACACAGTTACGATAACCGTTATTATAATATGTAAGAGATGGACACAGTTACGATAACCGTTATTATAATATGTAAGAGATGGACACAGTTACGATAACCGTTATTATAATATGTAAGAGATTGACACAGTTACGATAACCGTTATTATAATATGTAAGAGATGGACACAGTTACGATAACCGTTATTATAATATGTAAGAGATGGACACAGCTACGATAACCGTTATTATAATATGTAAGAGATTGACACAGTTACGATAACCGTTATTATAATATGTAAGAGATTGACACAGTTACGATAACCGTTATTATAATATGTAAGAGACTGACACAGTTACGATAACCGTTATTATAATATGTAAGAGATTGACACAGTTACGATAACCGTTATTATAATATGTAAGAGATTGACACAGTTACGATAACCGTTATTATAATATGTAAGAGATGGACACAGTTACGATAACCGTTATTATAATATGTAAGAGATTGACACAGTTACGATAACCGTTAGTATAATATGTAAGAGATTGACACAGTTATGATAACCGTTATTATAATATGTAAGAGATGGACACAGTTACGATAACCGTTATTATAATATGTAAGAGACTGACACAGTTACGATAACCGTTATTATAATATGTAAGAGACTGACACAGTTACGATAACCGTTATTATAATATGTAAGAGATTGACACAGTTACGATAACCGTTATTATAATATGTAAGAGACTGACACAGTTACGATAACCATTATTATAATATGTAAGAGACTGACACAGTTATGATAACCCTTCATCTGTACAGTATTATTTGTGTTGTTATCATTAGAATTTGACGTACAAGAATATTTATTCCCAAAAACCTTTTTAAATAAGTCTCCAGTTTTCTTAATATCTGCATTTATAATAATATCTTACAAATGTAAATTTATCTGATAATTGAAAGACAGATATATAAGTATTTTGTTAAAATCGTCTTGCAGTTGTTTTAATGGAAATCCAGGTTAATTTGTATGTTTTATTTGTAATAGGAAAAAAAATCAGCTGGTCAGTCATTTGTATATATATATGTAGCTACACCAAATACATGACAGAATTTGTGATACAAAAATTAGTACATTTTTAACACTAGAATAAGCTTGCTACGCAGAATACAACTATGTTTACCTTATTGTCAGCAATGTACCGTATAACTTTGTGAATCCAGTCTCCAGTGTATTGTTTAAGCTTTTATATGATCAGTGTAACTCCATTGTTGTGACCAGCTTTACCATGGAAGGCCCAGCAAGGTCAGAGGAATTATCCATGTCTGTACACATATGATACAAGAGCTATTATCTTGGAATGATGCTGTAGTATAGCATGCTGATCTTGTTTTCCTTGTCATGAAGTCTTGCCAATGGTTTTGTCTCAGCCTCCAATTACTTAAATCATTGCTTGTATCACATCAGCATTATAGAAAAGTGCAGCCAGGGGCACTCAGTTTCTGTCTGGAAACCAGTAGAAATATTAATACATTGTAGTAAAAACGTGGAGGCAAGGAAGGGGGGATGGGGGAGGCTGCAAAAATATTCTTTCACAGACTCATTAAAGAAAACTTTTCTATATCGGCTGCCAAATCAAACAAAAATCATACATTTGTTAACAGGGTAACTATGGAGTTTAATAACTGCAGTAAAACATTGTCTTTAGTGCTACAACAGCTAGGCTATATTGTCAGTTAAAATGAGGTTAAAATCACATGCAGTGCTTTAAGGACATAATTACATAATTTACTTTATTATTGGAACATTTGATGAGTGAAAGACAGACTGATCATACATAAAAAAATATGGTATTGTTAATGTAAGTGAGCACTTATTGTTATTGTTAATTTTGAGAGCTACATCGAATATCTATGTTTGTCCCTTGTTTATCCTACACATAGGATTTGTCTCCTAACAGATACAGTCCATCCACAATGACTTTTTTATGATATTGACAGCAGCGATGTTGGTATTAAATTGGAAGTAAAGGAAATCCACATCATCCATAGGAAAATTAGCCAATGGACATACCTAAGAATGAATGAGATTGCCCAACTTGATTGTTCCCTGAAAAGTTTAGAGAAACAGGTAACCCTGGTGTGATTATACAACTTTGTGCCAAATGATACAACAATATATCTGTTTGACTTTGGTTTGAAGTTCAAGTAACATGATGTTTAGAATAGGGGATGTTCATTACTACATTTATGTAGGAAATGTGAAATAAATGCAGTAGTATTAAGGGTGTAGATAGCCCAGCTATTCAAACTTTTGACATATAGTTAGGACACTAATACATAAGTTTCAAATTTGTCATAAAAATCAGAAATTTACAGATATACAGATAGTCACAAATGATGTTGATAAATCACCGAGTTGTTTTATGTAACAGAATCAGAATGGTGGTAAATTTAAGTCATTGTTAAAATTTTGTAAACGTTTTTTTCATTATTGTGGCTTTATTAACTTATACTGTAAAGCTTAGTCATTGTTAAGGAATGGGAAAATGCAGGCACATTTTCACATCCAAGATATTTCCATAAATGTTATAAAGCTGTTTTTTAATAGAAATAACCTTTTTTCTTTTGTTTTTATTGAAGTCTTGTAAAAGTGTACAAAAAGCTTGAAGCAGTAACAAACTTATTTCATAATTCTCAAAATAAAACTCCTTTCAGAGCAGGCTTTCAGATTAAGTTCTACCTCTGCAGTGTTTTCCTAGTGCCTTTCATAAATAGGCAGCTTGTAGCCTTCATTTCTGTGTAAGGTAGACAGGTTTTCTATCACGGTGATATACATAAACAATGGTTCAGATAAAACACCAAAGATAGTTCATTTTTAATGTTCATGAAACAAAGCAGGGTCAACTCGTCTAAAATTCTTCAACATCTAATTACTTATTTGTGAAAATTTTCAATTTGCATATTTTTAAGAAATTTTGGAAAATATCAGTGAACTAATACACTTTGTTTTTTTCTTTGTTAATTTTTAAGCTGTCTCTGTCTCTCTCTCTTTTTGTATATATATATAACCAAAGAAGGAAAACCATAGAAATCTATGTTATACATTGGATCAAATCTATATTACTAAGTGGTTGCATCAGGATACATCAGTTTTTCTTCTGACCTGATAAAAAAAACATACAACTTTCAAGGAATTTCTCTGGAACTGCATTTTACAAACTTCTCAAGTTCCAGGGACCTTGATTTTTAACAGATGAAGTTTCTGTTGAACTTCAGCTACAGACTTTGACCCTTTTGTGCAATAATAAGGTCTTGAAATCCTGAATTTATCATTACACAAGTTTACTTATATCTATCAATGTCTTAAGTGCTATATATATTTTTTAATTCAATTTTGTATCAGTTTTACATACATTTTAAGACTTCATGCTTGCTCTTATTATTTTAAAAACCCAACATACCTTTACATGTCTATATTACATGTATCACATATGTCA